AAAAGATTAGTGTTTAAAACTCTCTCGTATCTTTGTTCCCTCGATCGCACGCTCATTAGGTTGCATTCACAAGACGGAAAACGTTGTTATATTCCACACGTATGTCGTACACACCAATCACAACCTCACATGTAATGTCTTAAATTAAATTAGCTATATATATATATATATAATTTAATTTATAATTTATATGTATGTATGTATATATATGCGAGGTGAAGCGATTGTCAAGATGTTCAGTGAGCAGCGACATGTCACGCTGTCTCCTTTTCGTATTTTTTCATATATATATTTTCTCACAGACTTTGGACAAACGTGTGTGTGCTGCGTTGTCAATTCTTCCTTTCTACACATAGATCTTATATGAATGTGAATGCGACGCTGCCAATATTTTCTTATTCTCCGAAATATGCTTTTTGCTACTGTTCCTCCGATTTTTCGACTTGTTGGTGTATAAGGTATAACATAATACAGAATAATTTATGCAGTGAATAATATTCCACAGAAATGATGCTTCGGAAGATTTAGAGGGATATATTATATAATGCTGAGCTGTGAAATTTTTATGAGGATTTATAAATTTAAAATAAGTTCAATAATAGTTAAAAAAAAATAGTACGTTAGATTTTACATGAATCGACTGTTTACATATCGTTTCACTTTATTTTCACTCTCTCTCTCACACTCTCTCCCTTTCCCCCTTCTCTAAATTTCAAACTGTATACGCCTAATACATCGTATGTTGGAGTCGGATATTATATTTATATTACACTACAGGGATTATTTTTATGATTTATAATATTTATTCTAAATTTTATATGAACCAGCTAAAATGGCGCGCGCGTAAATAAAAGAAGCAGAGAGGGACAGAGAGAAAGAGAGGGGAGGGAGGAAGAGGGAGGGAGTGAGAGAGGGTGAGAGAGAGAGAGTGAGAGCGGAGGGAGGGTGGGAGAGAGGGAGGGAGGAAGGGAGGGAGAAAGGGAGGGAGGGAGAGAGGGAGGGAGGGAGAGAGGGAGGGAGGGAGGGAGGGAGGGAGGAGAGGAGGGAGGGAGAGAGAGAGAGAGAGAGAGAGAGAGAGAGAGAGAGAGAGAGAGAGAGAGAGAGAGAGAGAGAGAGAGAGAGAGAGAAGAGAATGTGAGGGAGAGAGTGTGAGAAAGAGGAGAAGGGAGGGAGAAGGAGATGGGGAGAGGGTGAGAGATGGGGATGGAGAGGGGAGAGAGGGAAATGTGAGGCAGAGAGGGAGGGAGGGAGAAGGGTGATGAGTGAATGAGTCAAAAAGAAATGATGGAGCCGATAGTAATCAGTATCAAAAAGTAAGGAACGTTATTATCTGTTATCGACGTTAGTGAATTTGGTATACATGTGTATATACAGAGTGTCTTAAAAATACCGGACCCCCGGATAACTTTGCAGGATCAAGTTTTCATGAAAACCTTTAAACACAAAAGTTGTAGAAAATCGAGTATTGGACTTGATGGTGACCACGAATTTGACATTGGCCATGACCTTCAAGGTCATTTGGAAGTTAATATGCGTTTTTTAAATGGGAACCCTTATTTTTCATTACACTGTTTTTTCCTCTCTCCCTCCCTCCCTCCCTCCCTCCATCTTGCTCTCTCTCTCTCTCTCTCTCTCACACTCACTCTCTCTCTCTCTCTCTCTCTCTCTCTCTCTCTCTCTCTCTCTCTCATTCTCTCTCTCTCTCTCACATACACTCTCTCTCTCTCATACTTCCCCCTCTCTCACTCCCTCCCTCTCTCACTCTCTCTCTTTCTCATTCTCTCTCACACTCTCTCACACAATCTCTCTCTCCTGCTCTCCTCTCATGCTCTCTCTCTCTCTCTCTCTCTCTCACTCTCTCTCTCACACTCTCTCTCTCTCTCTCACTCTCTCTCTCTCTCTCTCTCTCTCTCTCACTCTCACTCTCACTCTCACTCAACCCCCCTTCTCTCTCTCTCTCTCTCTCTCTCTCTCTCTCTCTCTCTCTCTCTCTCTCTCTCTCACTCTCTGTCTCTCTCACACTCTCTCTTTTTCTCTCATCCTCTCTCTCTCTCACACTTTATCAAAGCTATTTCGCATAATCAAAATACGTGCAAAGATGAAGCGCAACATTGCCATGCAAAAGGATTTGAAATTCAGTGCAGTCAGTGCGACGTAAATTTTCAATTACACATAAAGCTTTTCTAGGCCAATATAGAATATTAATTTCATATTGAGCAATGCTCCGTTTCATATTCCCACACATGTACTTTACCTTTATAGAAGAATTCTCAATTCGGCGCATCGAATTTTTCATCATTTTTCCAAGATGTTTCTTATTACTCTTTTTTATTTTCGTACGAATATTTATTATGCGAAGCGAAAAGGTTTTCAATTTGGTACAGCCAGGGTGACGTATACTTTGCAAGAAGGACTCGTTCTCCTAATCGCAATACTCATCGTTTTTCTCAGATAATTTGCATTATTCCATTTTATTTTGGCAGGAATATCACTGTAGAATCTTTTCATTCGTGCAGCCAGTAGATAACTTTGCAAAAGTGTCGTATTCTATTCGCATAGTTTTCATTTTCTTACATATTTTTTATTGCTCCACTTTATTTTGGCAGGAATATTTGCCGTACAAAAGCGTTTTCAATTCCGTACTGCTAGTGCAACGTAAACGTTGCTGAAGGAAGTCGGTATCCTAATCGCAATAGTTTCCCATCGTTTTTCTCGGATGTCTTGAATTACTCCATTTTATTTTGACAGGAATATTCACTGTACGAAAGCGTTTTCAATTCCATACTTCCAGTGCGACGTAAACGTTGCAGGAGGAACTCGGTGTCCTATTCGCAATAGTTTCCCATCGCTTTTTTCGAATAATTTGTTATACTCCGCTTTATTTTGGCAGGAATATTCACTGTACGAAAACGATTCCGTATTGCTAGTGCGACGTAAGTTTGACAAAAAGAAGTCGCTGACACGATAAAGTGAGAAGTCGATTTACGTGAAAACAAGCATACTATTTCTGAAGAATCATTTACTTGTAATAATATTCATTGCTCAAATTATTTTTTATTATGTTACACTGTATATATATCAGCGAGTCGAAGAATCCGAGAAGCAGCAGCAAAATGCACATTTCGGAGAGAAGGTAAATATCGGCAACGTCGCATTCACATTCATATAAGATCTGTGTGTAGAAAAGTCGAAATGACAATGCAGCACACACACATTTGTCCGAAGTCTGTGAGAAAAGATATATATGGAAAAATGCGATGAAAGGATAGCGTAATCTCATCAGCGATTATCCGGCAATTGTCTTTACTATATAAATACTATGTAAATATATATACACATATGTGTACCAAAATTCACTAACGTCGATAACAGATGATAACATTCCCTACTTTTTGACGATCGCCTCTACGTTATCGACGCTTTGCAAGTTTGTTAACGACTCCAATGGTGGGATTCTTTAACTCGTTATTGGAGTTAACGACACTTTCGTTATCGTTGCGCAGCTTTTGTATACAGTAGAAAAGCTGCGCAACGATAACGAAAGTGTCGTTAACTCCAATAACGAGTTAAAGAATCGCGCCGCTGGATCCCCTTAATGACATATTATTAACGTTTGAAACGTCATTAAAACATCATTAACCAGTGTATTAATAATGATTCATATATGAGCAAAAGAGTATTACAATTGGTAATAACTCATTTATGGGCACCATGAGCTCTGTAAATTTTCAACGAATTTGTATCAAACTTGATATACCCATGTTTTTTTGGTCTAATTATAAATCTGGAATCAAATTTGAGACATTTATAATGGCGGATCCAATATGGCAACGCTTAAATTTCATTCACTCAATTTTATTAGTTTTTGAAAAATATTTATTAGGATTGATTATCCCCATTTGATTTTGTATGAAATCTTCTTTATAGATGATTTTTCGTGTTGCTAGTAACGAATCCAGAGTCAAAATTTCAAAATTTAAAACAGCATATCCAATATAGTGGCTCCAAGTGACTAATTTTGTTATTCTATTATGGAAAAGATCATATTCGACATGTTCATGTTTTTTGAGTTACTGCATCCAATCAGAATATCAAGATCTAAAATGAATTCAACATGGTGGCTTCTAGTGCCTAATAGCATTCGATTATAGATATTCTTATCTTCGTTATTAGCGGATAAAATATGTTAAAACTATACTTCTTTGTCGAATGGCTCAGGTGAAAACTTTCGACTTATGAGAGTCTATGACCAAAAGAACATACTGAGTTTGATACCTATCCATAATGAGATATCAAAGTTAGTTTGAAGACATCATATTGGGTCCGCCAATTTAAATTTTGAAATTTCGACCCTGGATTCTTCATCAGCAATCCAAAAAAACTCCTAATAGATAAGTTTCCATATATAATATGAAATTATTCGCTCTCACCAGTTTTGGCATAAAACGTTGATTTCGAATCTGCCAGAGATCTAGTTAAAATGTCTTGAAATATCATTATTAGTCTGTGATATTTTCATGATATTTCCTCATAAATTAGGTAATTTCTTGAATATTTTTTAATTAGATTTTTATGTCCAAATGAGTTTATTTGCGGCGTAATAATCCTAAAGACTATCTAACGTCGAATTTAGCGTAAACTAAACACTTTTCCAACAATAACGTGGACTATCCTATCGAATCCGTCATTTTGAATTTTGCAAAATGGATCTAATTCATAATCAGCGACATGTGCGAGTTTCAACAACAAATCGGATAGATTTATTCTTAAGAAACGCTGTTTTAAATATGTATAAAATAATGTACTAATACAAAACTTCAAAAAACTTCGGAAACATTTAGAAAATCAATTTGGGCTAAAAATGATAACAGATTTTTTTATATCTTGACTGTAAAAAATTGAACACAAATCGATATCTGACGTTTCCCGAGGTTTACTTATAAACGAAGACTGACAATTATCACGAACCAGCAATCAGAGTTCTATCATTCCCATCTCACCTGCCGGTATCCTGCGAGCTCACATTAAAAATATAAAGACTCCCGCCGCGCGAGATTTTGATCCTGCCGCTTTCCAGCATACTGCCGTCCTTTTTCCATTGTATCACCGGTTTCGGCCTGCCTTCAGCTCGACAAGGCACCTCGACTACGGCTCCTGATTCCGCGTCTATATCCCGCGGTTCGTATGTCAATCGAGGTGCACTGGAATCCGCAGCTAGGACTTGTAGGTCTGCGCTGGTCTCCGCGAAACCGTTGGCGTTTTGAGCGCGACACACGTATCTCGCAGTGTCCGTCTCCTTAGCTGCATAGATGCGAAGCACGTTGCCGCCTTGCTCAAGTGAGAATCGGTCGTTAAGGGTGATCAGCTGACCGTTTCGCCACCAGCGGATACTCGGTAACGGACTGCCATCGACTCTGCAGGCGAAGGTAACGTCGGTGCCGGCGGTCACGATGCGCGATTCTGGCAGCTCGGTGAACCTCAAGGACGACGACACCATGATGACCGCTCGAGCTTTCCTGGACCTGGTTGAGCCCATGCCGCTGCTGGCCACGCACTCATATTCGCCCACGTCCTGTTCGGTCGCGTCGTTGATCACCAAAGTACCATCCTCGCGAATCATGTATCTCTTGCCATCCTCATCCACTTCGTTCGAGTCGCGCATCCACTTGATCTTCGGCGTCGGATCGCCCGTCACCCGGCAGGTGAACGTAATTGTATCGCCAACCCACACTGTCGCGTCTGTTGGTCCTTGCATTATATGCGGCTTCGCTGAAGAAAGAATTTCTTATCATCGTGGTTATACAATCGAGAGAGAAGAGAATCAAAGGGATGCGTGTATTATTGCATTCACGCTAGTCGTATCTTTGTTTATTCTCGATATCACGATTAAATTTGTTATATAATTATTATAAGAAATTTTATCATATAAGGATATTTTGAATTCATAATTAATTTATGATAAAAGTAATTTTCTTGAGCAACATTTTCTTGCGTGATATTTTAATATCGTTCTTTTATTTGAGAGAGAGAAGATAATTTTAATTATCTTCATAAATAATGTCAGAGAAGACTAATGTCAAAGAAGCATGCGAAACATCAAAGATCTGTCTTCCGATTGTTACATAATAAGAACATTAACCGCAGTCGTTCATTCTTTAGATCCCGCAAATCCTCGCAAAGTGGATAATAACATACTTTCGACATTGCTGTCACTCTGTTGACTTGGAAAAGAAGATCCCGCTCTAGAATTAGTCAGCGACAGTCAATTGAATGGAAGTCTCGATTTAACCTTTCGGAAGGATCATGCGATGCACGGGTCATCTTTAGTGACAGTCATCGTCACGCGAGATGCGGCCATACGGCGATCGCAGTGTCAACGACGACATGATCGCCGTTAACACTTTGATGGCCGCTGTCACGCATACGTGATTTCATAAAATATCGAGAAAAATTAAGCAAAATGTGCCGGCGTTAACGACAGGATTTACGCGAGATATATCGGCGTCAAGTGACAGTCAACGAGCAAAAAGTACGGCCATCAAAGTGTTAAGCTGTCTTTACACCGATAATGTGTCAAAATGAGAGGAAACGCTCTAAGAATGGATTGACTCGCCGAAAAAATTAGTGGTAAATATTAATATTAGACATATGTTGTCAAAGACATTGCTCTGACTAATTTACAAAAAGTTTCAGCCGTTGCTCATTGTTGATTAAAAAGTTATTAACAGAAGAAGTTTCATAAATATATAAAGTCTATTTTTCTAACATAGTGTATATTTAAAAATGTTACGGTACGTATGAATGGTGGAGGGACGAAGCCCCTCCCCTGCACTTCCTCCCCAAAAAAATTTAGCCTAACCTAACTTAATATTAAGCCAGCGGCACACGGTGTTTGTTTTCGTGCTGGATTGCTTGCTGGATGAAAATACTGCGTTCTGATTGGTACATTTCCGAAGATGGATGGAAATGCACCAATCAGAACGCAGTATTTTCATCCAGCAAGCAATCCAGCACGAAAACAAACACCATATGCCGCTGGCTTATTATTCAACTTATATATTTTTGCATATGATTGGGCGTTGTGAGTTTTAAGGGAACATTTTCAACAACACTACTAATATTAATATTTATTGAGTTATTGAGTTATATTATTGAGTTAATAACACACTACGTAAACAGTGAGAGGATTAGAATTATATATAGAGAGTGAAGTTCTTTATAAATTCTAAATTCAGACTATATATCCATTCACCTTTTACTAATAAATGGAGTGGTATACAATTTTTAGTATGATGATTTTCCTTAAACATCAATGGTATTAGATATACAAATTAATTCAGTGCCTTCTTTCATGAAATTCAAAGTCATTCAAGTTTCATTTACAAAAAAATATATTTAAACACAAAAAAGTATTTAATATTCAAAATCTCCATTATTTTTGCTGACTACTTCATCTTTCGGGTAACTGACGAATGCCCTCACGGAAAAAACATGGTGGTTTTGACTCGATAAAGTCATCGATACCTTCTCGAACTTCGTCAATTGTATTAAAGTGCTCATCAGCCAGATGATGTTGAAGTGATTAAAATAGGTGGTTATCTGACAGGTCTAGCGAGATCTAATGAATAAGCTGCATGAGGGAGAACTTCCCAACTTAATATATAGATAACGTCCTTAGTCTATTTTGCGGTATGTAGACGAACATTGTCGTGCTGCAAAATCATTTGTCTACTTCTGTGGCCAGTATAAGGCCTCTCCAACGCATTGCTCAAACGATAAATTGTTGTTGATAGTATTCCTTAGTAACAGTCTGACCAGGATACAACAACTCATAATACACACCACATTCTTCAACTCTCACTAGATACTCAGCAAAATTTTTTTGCATGGATATTAGGCTTGGGAGTCAATGTCGACGGTTGACCAAAATTTATCCATGATTTTTTGCGTTTAGGGTTGTATTATAATATCCAATTTTCATTACTTGCAGTGATTTTGCACAGAAAATCTTTTCTTTTAAATCGGGTCAGCAAAGACATTATCCTGTCAAATTTTCGCTGCTTGCTTTCTGGGTTCAGATTGTGCGGAATTCATCCACCCTCCTTCTGAATTTTACCGAGTTGATGTGGACGGTAAAATATTCATTGTTGAGCAATTCCAAGTTGTAATGTCCCATATAGCAAAAGTTGCAGCAACATTGCTGCAATGTTGTAATAATATTGCAATGTTGCTGCAACTTTTGTGCTGTATGGGATAAGCTCCTGTTGAGTTTGAGCGGAGTTTTTAGTCAACAGTTCCTCGTCGTCAAATTTTTGTGGTTGACCCGGACGTTATTGATCCGAAAGACCAAAAAATGCATTCTAAAACCTTCAGTATTATTTTTTACACACGTTTTATATGTTACAGCGTTTTCATTCAGAGTGGCACAAATCATCTTCGTAGCTTCGTAGCATTTTTCTTTAATTAAAATGTGAAAAAACAGTATCTTAAATGCTGCTTATCGACCGCCATTGTGTTCACTGTTATTTTATGAGGTTATACCGTTTATTTCATCAAAGCATATAATGTTTTTTAGAGAGTGTATGTTGTAGAGAACTTAGTGGTAGACATTTATAAACCGCAAAAAGGCGGAAAACCATTTAGTTTTAAAATGGAGTTATAAGGCACGAAATGTGTGTAAAGGCCGAATTAATTTATGCACCTAGTAATCCAAATGACTATATTCATCTTCTAAGAATAGGATGATTCAAACATCTATGACTGATTTAAAAGACACATAACTTTTTTAACAGTTAACAGATATTAAAAATTTCCTTTGTAGATTATATTAGAAACTAGGAAATTCCGAAAGAAGTAACTGACTTTGTATGTTTATTTGTAATTTCTGAAAAGGATGATTATACGATAATGACCTTGCTATGCAAAAATTAAAAAACAAATTTTCAATATTTTGCTTTCTTACTATCTTCCCTAAAGATTATAAAAACCTTTATCGATGATCAATCTTTGAGCTATTTATATATTTATTTTCAATTTTCTAAAAGGATAATTATATTCTTGCTATACAAGAATTGAAAGACATATCTTCAATCTCTCTGCTTTCTTGATGTCTTGTTTGAGATTATTTTATGAAAATTTCTGCAAATCAATCTGATTTATTTCACTCAACTGCAATGGAAATCCTCGATTGACATTGTCGTCAAGGAGCGACCCTTCATTTCCTGGGGAGATTGGCAAATTGCCGCCATCTCCAAGCGCTTGTCCCGCATCCGTTCCACCAGCCAGATCAAGTTGCAATCGCAGACGAGCGCGTTACTATCGAGACGCAGTCTTGTCATCGGGCCGACATTGAGGAACGCGTTGGCCGGCAGCTGATGCAGCCGGTTGTTGTGGAGGAAGAGCCGTTCCAACGCCGGCAGATCGTTGAACGTACCAGGTTGGATCTCCCGCAAGTGATTATGATGCAAATAGAGCTGCTCGAGCCGCGGCAATCCAGTGAAGGCACCCGGTGCTATGCGGACGATGCGATTTTTGTACAAATAGAGCACACGCAAATGCGAGGCGCCGTCGTAAGCGCCTGCCTGTAATTGCCGAATGCGGTTATCGTTCAGCAGTAGGGTGTCCAGCTGGCCGAGCCCGTTGAATGTTCCCGGATGCACTTCCGCGATATGATTGAATCGGAGGTCTCTGAAAACAATCCATCATTTTGAATTGGATAAGTGCGGACTCTGAAAAATTTGTAGTAGTTATTTATTAGGTGCGCAACTAAGTTCTCGCTGTTTTTTTGATGAAAATGCAACTTTATTGTGAAAAAATGGTTACAAATGAATCATTCAAAATATTGCCCATCGCTAGCGACAACTTTTTCCCATCTTTCTGGCAGAGCTCGAATACCGTCACGGTAGAAGTGTTCGTCTTTTGAGGCTACCCACGAATCAAGCCATTTTAAGATGTCTTCATATGAGCGGAACTGCTGATTAGCCAGACCATGTACCATCGAACGGAACAAGTAATAATCGGACGGCGCAATATCTGGGGAATATGGCGGGTGTGGTAGGACTTCCTATTTGAGCGTTTCTAAGTAGGTTTTAACGGGTTTGGCAACGTGAGGCCGAGCGTTGTCATGCTGTAGAATCACTTTTTCGTGCCTCTGCTCGTATTGTGGCCGCTTTTCGCGCAGTGCTCGGCTCAATCGCATCAATTGAGTTCGATACCGTTCCCCAGTGATGGTTTCGTTCGGTTTCAACAGCTCATAATAAATAACACCGCCCTGGTCCCACCAAATACACAGCAAAACCTTCGCAGCGTGAATATTCGGCCGAGCCGACGACGAGAAGCATGACCGGGCAGTCCCCATGATTTTGTTCTCTTTGGGTTGCTGTAATGAATCCATTTTTCATCACCCGTAACGATGCGATGAAGAAAACCCTTCCTTTTTTGCCGCTAGAGCAGTTGTTCACAGGCGAAAAAACGACGCTCAACGTCTCTTGGCTTCAAATCATAAGGAACCCAAGTTCCTTGTTTTTGAATCATTCCCAACGCATGCAATCTCTTGGAAATGGCTTGGCGGGTAACTCCTAATGCTGAAGCAAGCTCTTTTTGCATTTGGCACGGATCCTCATTGAGCAATGCCTCCAATTCAGCGTCTTCGAAGGTTTTTGGCCTTCCTTCACGCGAACGGTCGTCAACATCGAAATCACCGTCTTTGAAGCGACGGAACCAATCACGGCACGTTGTTTCACTTAGAGCAGCATCTCCGTAAACTTTTTGAAGTTCTCGATGCGCTTCAGCTGCCGTTTTCTTCGAATGAAAGAAGAAAAGCAACACTTCCCGCAAATGACGATTATTTGGCACAAAATCACATTTTCACACAACCAAAAGTATATGACGCAAAAACAAAATCACTAATGTGTCAAAGCGGTTTGTTTACCATATGTCTAAGCTTGGTTCATGACGTTTTGGTTATGTCACAATCGACCAGCACTTACTATTGGAGCCATCTCTTGAAAAACAGCGGGAACTTAGTTGCGCACCTAATAGTTCAAAGAAGTATCAGCTCCAATCACCTCGACCTTGACATATGTTGTTCAGGTCATCTTACTGAGTAATCTATTGCAGGTTTTAGCCATCGTTTATTGTTTATTAAAAAAGTTACTAACAAAAAAGTTTTATAAATAGAACCTATTTTTCCGACAGTATACATTTTTTAAAAAATATTAAGCATATGAGCGGCGAGTACATTTTCCCGAAAAAAATTAAAACCTAACCTAACATATATGTGTGTTATATGGTTGAGCGTTGTTGAAAAGGTGCCTTTAAAATCTTACGTTAGGTTAGATTATTGAAAAGATCCCCTTAGATTAGTTTAAGTTTAGGTTAGGTTAGGTTTTTTTCGGGAGGAGAATGCAGGAGAAGGAGTTCTACCCCTCTCCCACTCATATGTATTGTTTAATATTTTTAATGTGTATTACTAGGTGCGCAACTACCATAAGTTTCCGGATTTCACACATCGATGGCGCTAACGACACATGAAGTCGACATATATGTCTGAAGTTGTGTTTTTTTATAGCTTGGACATCTGTTAAGAATAACCAGTCGTAATACCAATACATATCGCAACGCAAAAATATTTTTTCTAACAACGAAGATGTCGAGTTTTGTGCCAAATAAACAGCATTTGCAGGAATCTTTACTTTTCTGCTTAAACTTGAAAAAAAGTGCAGCTGAAGCACGTCGTTTGCTTAAGGAGGCCTACGGCGAACATGCACCATCGAAAACTACCTGTGAAGATTGGTTTAAACGCTTCAGAAGTGGCGATTTCGACACTGAGGACAAAGAGCGCTCCGGAAGACCAAAAACAATTGAGGACGTCGATCTGCAAGCGTTATTGGATGAAGATGATACGCAAACACAAGATCAACTTGTGGAGGCATTAAACATGACCCGCCAAGGTATTTCCAAACGTTTACATGCCATGGGAAAAATACAAAAGGAAGGAAAATGGGTGCCGCTTGAGTTGACTGAGAGACAGATGGAAAATCGAAGGGCCACTTTCGAAATTTTGCTTTTGCGGCATGAAAGAAAGAGTTTCCTGCATCGAATTGTTACTGGCGATGAAAAGTGGGTATATTTTGAGAATCCCAAACACAACAAATCGTGGTTTTCATCTGGCGAAGCATCAACATCGACAGCACGGCCAAATCGCCTCGGAAAGAAGACAATGCTCTGCGTTTGGTGGGACCAGAAAGGAATCGTATACTATGAGCTGCTGAAACCGGGCGAAACTGTCAATGGGCATCGCTACCGACAACAACTGATCAATTTGAACCATGCATTGCTCGAAAAACGGCCAAAATGGGACACGAGACACGAACGAGTAATATTGCAGCACGACAACGCTCCGTGCCATCGCACTTCCATCGTCTAGGACATCATCAAAACGCTGAAATGGGATCTGCCACCGCACCCGCTGTATTCGCCAGACCTGGCCCCTTCCGATTATCACTTGTTCCGGTCGATGGCGCATGGCTTGGCTGGGCAACACTTGGCCAATTTCGAAGAAGTGCAAAATTGGTTGAATGAATGGTTTCGGTCCAAAGACGCGTCGTTTTATCGTCGCGGTATTCATGTATTGCCAGAGAGATGGCAAAAATATGTAGCTAGCGAGGGACAATATTTTGAATAAACCATTTTTTGTATTTCTCTTGAAATTTTCAATTTTTCATTGATCAAAAAATCCCGGAAACTTAGTTGCGCATCTAGCATATCGAAAAATAAGCTTTATTTATAACACTTCTTTTGTTAATGACTTGTTAATAAACAATGAATAAATTGAAATCAACAACAATGAACGACAGCACTAAAACTTATAATAAGTTGTTCAATAAGATAACTTTAAGAATATATGTTAAGGTCGAGATAATTAGAATTGACTTTCCTAAGCTAAATAATTGTCAAATTTATCTTACTCTTTTAACATCTCGATAAACGCGAGCTCGATTCTTTACAGGATATCCCGTAAGTCGAGGTCAATCTCAGGACGTGAATAGTGATTCAAAAACAGGAAAGAAAGTTGATATGAACATAAGTTTGAAAATGCGTTGTTTTCGAATTATCGAATATTTTTACGTTGAAATTTGAAATTGCTTTACTTTCGAATTTTTTTGTCAAAATTGAAATAGGAGATGGTTTTTATGAATTTTATAACATAATTAAAGTCAAATAAAACTTGCGGGCCATGTTAATAGTCACGGTTCCGATCAGCGATGCCAGATTCGAAATGCACAACACGTCATAGCGCGGTGGTGATCTGTGCGAAACTATACCTTGGTAGTGCTGGATAGTGCTAAAGCAGCCCACAACTTTTATTTGACTTTAATTATGTTATAAAACTCATAAACACCACCTTCTATTTCAATTTTGACAAAAAAGTTCGAAAGCAAAGCAATTTCAAATTTCAACGTAAGAATGGTGATAACTCGAGAACAACACATTTCCGGACCTATGTTCATATCAACTTTCTTTCTTATTTTTGGATCCCCATTCATCTTCTGAGCGATTTATCTCGATTTACGGGACACCCTGTATATTCTTTGCTCTATCTTGCCACTCGTGTCATACGAAAGAATTGTGTGTTATCTCGGATTGAGAGCTGGGGATCATGTAATTTTTTCCTAGGAGCGAAAACGTATACGAATGAAAAAGATTGATTAAATTAACGTGACAATAAACAAACCAAAATCGCGTTTTGATTGAAGAAAACAGTCTTGTTGATTCAACCGATTTTTTTCTGCGCGTGAAAAATGAAATGTTTCACGTTTTCAATGTTCGAAAAGTTATTTAATTGTTAAAGCTTGAGTTCATTTTTTACTTTTCCGCTCTCAGGAAAAAGTGGATGCTACGCTGGATGATTACATCGGAACGGTTATATTCCTTGCTGAACATTGTGATTGTAAAAAAGAATATATAAAAATACATATTATATATAAAAGTATAATACAGTACGATTTGGTAAATCTCAAATAAACGTCCTTGCTTCCTTGAAGCGCCGTTATCGCATGATATGCATGTGAGTAACGGAATAAGGCGAGTAAGATCGTAAGCAAATTGCTGTGCCAATTAGGATGATGGTGACGCTGGCGGATGTGCGAATTAGGTCTTCGGAAATTCATCGAACTTGTAAAACGCGTTGTGTAATAATATAATTGTATAATTATTGCGAGAGCGTGGCATGCCGCGGCGAAGATATTCATTTTGCCAGTTATCGCGGAAAGTTCTTGTAATTAACAATTTTATTCGACTCATTGCACTTTACTTCTCTTCTAAATTACTGGTTCGAGTTCTCGCGTTTGACCCGGCGGTATTTTAACCTCTTTATCGTGCCGGCGAATCGCCGGCACAGGCACACGCGGGTAGAAAGTAGAAGAAGCCCGGACTTACAACTGCCGGTAATTGCTCATAATGTGGTACTTTCATATTTTTAAGAAATGACGAAGGCGTGTATACGCAATGTTGATAAGCGAACGGTTATTATGATCGCGGTAAGTATGATCAGTTTTATTATCGCGACTTGTTAAATGCTTTACCTTAAATTTTGAACTTATCATTGAAAAATAATTAACTATTATGAATGGGTGCAATATATATAAAGACAAATAATAGCCATTTTTACAGCACTTGCATTTCGT